ACTTTTAGAAAGAGCTTGTCAAGGTGTAAGGTTTCAGCCTATGTTGGATCTTGATGTTTTTCCCAGCCTCCCAATTAAAGCACCGATTTTAAATGTTGCTTAGAGCAACATGAAGTGGGAATGCTGATTTGGCAGAAAGGCTCTATGTACTAAGTTGTCCATCACATTTATCATGGAACTTTTTAATTCTTAAATTTCCATAGCTGTACTTACCAGTTGTCTGTTTCACATTGTAGTTTAATTACATGGTAGCAAAGTGCTTCTCCAGGATAAACCATTCAAAAAGTCCAAATTTATCATTTTTTTGATGACTGAGAGCTTTTATAAAAATGAGTCAAACAAACTGGTGTATAGACCAGACTGCTTTGATATTGCACATAGTGGCATTTAAACGGTTCATCATTTAAACTTGAACGGTTCTGAAAAGTAAAAATCACCAAAATATTTCCTACTAACTTCTAATCAACTTTGTTGACATTCACTCTCAATTCAATTCACAGATACAGCATATTTTAAGTTAAACAATCTTTAGCCAATCAGTATGATATTCAGTCATATTGCACAAAACTCCCAACGCAAAATTCACAACACTGAAACATTATCCGTTCTTTTCATCCATCTCTTCATTTTCTGTACCAGCTTGTCCTATGTTTGGCTGCAAACCAGGTAGAACAACCATAAATTAATTGTCAATGGCTTTGAATGCTTTCAGAACTGCTTACACCGCTGGGGAAATGCTTTAAATGGAAGATGAGCACGCCGCAAAATGATGAGGCTGTCATTTCCCATTTCCCATCCATGCAGCCTCTGACATCTCAGCAGCTTTAAAAATGAAGTGCTTGGAAGTTTACACGCTTCTATTCATACGTGATTAATATCCGATGTATTTATAATTTCGTGTAGACCCGTACAACCAGTGCCTAGCATTTAGCAGGGGTGCTGATGGAAGTCAGAACTTCCTGTCCCCTGGATCTGACAGGGTATTTATTAATTTCAGATTCCTAGCCCAACACAGACTTCTGCCAAGTAAATATTAGTGAAGCTAAGCCTATTGAGTTAAAGGTGAATTCTGCACAAAAATGATAATAAATTTATTTTGCTTATGAACAGGTTTATATACTGCATATTCAAAACAAAAAAATTACATGCAACTTAAGAAAAAAATCTGCTTCACTGCTTACTTAAAAATTTCATTCCATATCAATGGGACACTTTTCTGTTTGTAGTTTAAGTCTATATAGAGTAAACTTAATGCTTCCTGTAGCATATCAGTAATAACAGGCACATATGTCACTAATTATTATATTTAAATTGGATGGATTATTACACTATGAATGCATCCTAGTCACAAAAAGTTGCCTTTTTCAAAAATCAGTTTTGCCTTTTTCCAGATCTTGTGTGACCAGGATAAGTGAATACAAGCTAGATGGAAATCTACAGATAATTAAACCTCTTAATATTTGCAGCTCTTTAACAGGCAAAAACCAGATTGATATGAATGCAATGAATGTTTTTCCTTTGTGATATGAAAATCAAGAAACAGTTGTTTATAGCAAACTCAAAATATTTCTGTACATCTTCCAAGACACCATCCTCCTAATTTATAATGAACAAGCTATATCTTGCTTTTTATACAAGCTTTCATGTTTTACATTCACATGTTATTAACCCTCAAGCAGACTTTAGAGTTTTTTTCCCTAATTGAAGCTGACAAATCACATCCATTTTCGCTCTTTGTCACTCATTAAACTAGGTGACAAAAATGTGACACTCATTTCCCTCTGACTTCAAAGATGTATCTTTAATACCGCTAGCATTCACCTACCATATAAATTCTTTCTGGATGTATAATCTCATAGTTCCTTTCAGTATTGTCCAGCTTGTACTATGTAAATTAGGAGCCTGGTAATTAGGAGAAGGACAGTCATCACCAGATGTTCATTAATTGCACATGGTTCACCTATCCTCAACATCCTTTATCGGTCTGTCTGTCAGCTTCTCTCTCCGTCTCATTTTTTAATTTATATAAATACTCTTCTTGCATAAATACTTCTTGGTGCAGATACTCTTGCCACCGCAAAAAAATAACTTCCCTCTGGTTTTAGTTTAACCGTCACTCCTGTGCGACTCAACTTGTTCCAAAAAGCCCCCCGGTGTTTCGTAAACGTTACCCTTCATTCCTACACCAGACTTTAAAATCACGTGTGGCCTCCATTATAATGTAATGTAATGTTGTTTTCCTCAAAAACACACAGTGCATTGCAGATCATCTGTGGCATATCCATTCCCTGCTTGAATGATACAGAGGAATTTTATGCATTAGCCTCTGATGTTGAGTGAAAATTCTCTTGTAATTCTTAAGTATTTACAAAAATACTCAAATTTCTGCGTTAAACATTACAAAAAAAAAAACTTAATTTAATAATTTTATTTTTCGGATAGGAAAGCTTTCACAATTAAGGAAAATAATTGATATGACTCTTTTCATTTAATGTTTTTCTGCCCTCCTTTCCGTCCTGAACATTTGTTTATTAATAATGTTTGTTTTACTAAGATGATGGAAGATTTGATTTATCATAGTGACTAATAGCAAAACTGCTACACTAACATCTAGTAAATGAACAAATAAGTAATGACAGTTGAAGGATGGATGGCTTGTCTGATGATTCTGGTAGAGATTTATAAGGTCATATATTAAACTGACATTATATGTTAAGCTGACTTATTACATTATAGAACACATCAGGTAGATGCTCTGACTGGGCTGATGACTTGCGCTGAAGGCAGGATGTCATTAGCCTGAACTTACTGGAAGCCAACTCTACAGACTAGATTAAATTAGATTCCAACACACTAAAGTGTCCTGTACTCAGTTTGTCTTGGTGCATTACAAAATACATTCGTGTGAACTCATCACTCAAGCAACTTTGAATGTTCCATCCCATACAGACAATAGAGTAAAATAAATTGATAGTTATAGAACACAGCGAATGAATGCCTCACCCATTCAACGAAGGCAACTGAGTAATCAATTTGTAAAAGATTGCATATAAATATACAAACCAACAAATACAATGATTACAGCTCCGATCCTGCCATCTTCATCACTCGAATTTCAAGATTTTACAACTAATATTATTAAACAACACAACAAATGGAATGACAGCACAGTACCTGCATCGGTAACACCGTGACCTCACACCACTGCCATCTGTAGTGTGTGTGTGTGTGTGTCTGGTCTGTGCATCGCACTATCCAGGGTGGCTCCACCTTCCACATACATCTCATGCACACTATGAATTGCTTGTGTGATCTTTAATAAATATTTCCATGTTGGTTAGTGCTTCAAATATTAAAATTGTCTGATCGCAGAAGACTGGAAAAGATGGTGGCAGTGGGAAGATGTCAGGGAGACACACAGGGCAAAGTTTAACCGTCACCCTGTAGATATGAGCACTCAAAGCACCAGAGTCATCGTCTACAAGTCTATTGGCATAACCAGCCCTCAAAATGCCCATATGCATGTTTAGCTTCCACAAGACACATTAAATTTAATGTAGCAGTAACGCATAACAAAGCAGGGCAGGTGTGGACAGCAACAGCACAACTGGGGCTTCCGGGCCACGCTCAGGAGCCCAACCATAAAAACATCACTGCACCTAGGGCCGTAGCCAACTAATAGGGCAGTTTCAGAACGAAAATAAGAACTAAAAATACATTTTGAAGCTAAATACTCACCTGAATAAAAAAATTAGACTAAGGTTTTAAATAATTATTTAAAAAAATAATAATCTTATGAGGGGGATGGTATCAATAATGTGATTAACGAGCCCCCCCCCCCCCCCCGCCCCAGGTCCTGGACCTCACTATTTCTCGCACTCGGCCCACGGACCTGACTTCACCAACTTTAACATTAGAACTGACGACCTTCCGATGCCAGGCACAGATTCCAAACCTACAGACCTACATCCGCCCTGAGAATAAAGCAACCAAGTAACACTGACTGAACGTTTCATATGTCGGAAATACCATCTAAGCGTTCCCGTCAGACGTCTATCCTTTCGGTTACTGGGTATGTTAATGAACTTAACCGACAAGGTAAATGACCAGACTTCTGATACTTGCCCACACATGTGACAATTTATTGCTGAGATGTATATTTAGCACATACATGAAAGTGTAATGTGTCCAGGCTCTAGCTACATGGCAGAGTCAGAGATGTTTTGTGGAAACCTTCGAAAAGTCATTCTAGACACTTTCTAGTGAAATGCTCTTCTGCGACTGCCTCCAGAAAAAATCTTTAGACTTTTGAAAAGTCGGGTAGATCAGACAGGCTTTTTACATGCTGAAAGCGGACAAACCAAAAATGTTCTACATAAGTGTTGCATATTCTGAGAGCCATATGGCCTTGAGACAAATCGACGACCAGGTTGAGGCCCCAAATTTGGGCTTGTACCACAAATCAGATTTACGCTTGATAATCCTGGCTACTTGTCCACGGATAAGTGGGGTTCAGTGCTAAGTATCCAGAAATGATTCTGAACCGACAGGCCGTAAATAAAAATGCCTATTTCATAAAAAAATTTTACTACTACAAACACTGTGATCTCTATCACATTCTTATTTTAATTGATGACTAAGTACTGCTGCAATAAAAGCAGGAATCCTTCAGACTGAGTGTTCTTACACATCACAAGTGTAACTGTGAGCTGGTTCTCACACTATTACATAAAAGGCACATTCCATTACTTTGCGAGCAGCAACCCCTAGGGTCATGTATTTGTCAATGCAACAATTTATTTTTGCAGTAATGTGTGTTAGGCCTCATCCAGCTATGTCAGTACACTCAGTATTTCAAATACCGACGGTTCATTATGATCTTTATCCTTTATGGATTATTTGGCTTAAGATGTGAATCCAAGACGGTGTTTTTGAAGTATCTTTTTAAAGAAACATCCGCAACATTCTTTCATGTTAATCATCCAGCAATGCATCATTCAAAGGGTGAACTCTGACAATGACATTTATTTTGTTAAAATGTTCATTTTGGTATTTCAGCTGTTTTTACATTTTTTTAAATTATATACCAACATATACAGCTTGAACATTCAAACAAAACCATGCTACAAATGAAGTCTGCAGGACAATGCAATACAAACATGAAAACAAAAGTTTCCATTGAGGTTTCAAATATCCTATTATTTTTAATCATAAAATACATACATAACTGCAGTTTTACAGTCCAATCGCAAAGGATTCGGAACAGCCACACGATAACGGTAGGCACAGAGGACCACGTTACTAAAAACCGTATCTGGAAGCAGGCTGACATGAGTAAATGTAAATGGTTAAAGAACATGATATCAGTAAATTAATATAGAAAGATGCTGCACGGGACAGACCAAAGGTCCTCCCATTTAATGAACTAACCTGTTAAAAGTTCCATTTCACAACAAAGAAAATGCTTCTGTAGTATGTGCACGCGGTTTGGCTATCTAAGTGTTTGCCTCAGGTTATTCGGGATTTATAAAAATGGCATGTCACTGAGCACTGTCAGGTTTTCGCGGCCCTCAGAAGGTTAGCTTACCAGCGAGATGGCGCTCGCCCTCGGGGGCGGCTCAGTCTCCCAGCATCCCGCAGACATACACTGACTATGTTGGTGGACTAGTGGACTGGTGGTAGTTATGAGAAGCAGGACCGTCCTGCAATATTAATGCCAAATATGTCCCCAGCAGCCTATAGGTTGAATCTGGGCAAGCCCCCAAATGTGACTCGCTTTTGGCCACTGAGACTCCTTCGAGAACCCCTCCCCCCTCAACTCCCACTGCCACCAACAGATCCCACTGAACAGGTCCTCAATCTGCACACGACTTGGCAACGGAGCCTATTCAGCAGTATAGCAACATTCATCTGAGAAAAGTCGAAAACCTGAGCAGGGTGGGGGGGGGGGGAAACGGGAACAAAATGAACTTCAAGCATTATTAATTACTATAGCAGCTAACAAGAGAAAACAAACTAAGTCACTGTACATGTCATAATGAAGGGGAAAAAAACAGGTCACCACATACTACGCTGCTCTCAAAATCTCCTTCTGCCCTCCTTCTCCTGGCCATACTGCTCTCCTGCTTGTGTGCTTTACCATCCCCATGATATTCGAGGATAAAACCATTATGGCACCGGCATGCAGGGGGCCGCATGATAGGTCTGTGCGAAATCCACACCAGTCCCTCTCAGTGCACCAGACCGAAACCGGAAACCAAACATACTTTTTTTACCCTATGGAAACCAAATACATGACTCACGCATGCCTTCAGCCTGCAGTTCCAAACTCTAACTTAATTTTATTTTTTTACATATTTATATCTTTTTACCGTATTAATTCAAGATTAAAACCCACAACATCTGTACAAGCCTATAGAGAATAATATTTACTGGCTTTTTAGAGTCTACTGCGACAAAAACGTTTCCTTCTTATGGAGATTGATCATTTCTTGGCATTGTTGTCCAGCTGGAAAAGGCCCAGAATGTCAAGCATGGCCTGTTTGATGTTGCTTCCAAAGCGATGCGAGTCCTGATCAGAAGCAGAGAGGAGAGAAAAAAAAAAATTAAAACACTTAGCGTTTGGTATTCAGTCGATACCATAATTGGACATAACGACAACACTGAAAATGTACCAAAACAAAAAAAAAAGTCTAACTTAAGCTGTATAATAATTCTGGTATAGTATCCCATGCCAGAAGGCCAAAAAAATAGCATAGTGGCAGATTACTCACGGTCTCTGGGCTGGACAACTTGCTGGATATGTGGAAGTTAATGAGGTTCTCCCCGAGTATGATATATGACACCCCATAGCCGTCATCAGCCACCTGTTATGAGGCAAAGCGATCAATTCATTGCTTTGCATGGCACCTTCTGTGTACAGATGTCTAGTAAACCCAGTCTGACTATTTTACAAAAGCCAATCTCATTTTACAAATAACCCAACAACACAGCCTCACAAATAGATCTGCGTAGCTAATAAGCTGCATTTAGAGACAATTATTCCTTTACCATTCTCAGATTCATCTGGCTACCCTGGCACTTTTCATCTGTTATACTCAGACTTTCGGACGGCTTTTACAACTTTGAATGTTCTAGTACTCCTAAGGTTTCTAGGTCCTTCAACTTGTGTGCTTGGAAGGAGATGGAGACTCACTGGACCAAAGCCACCACCGCTGGAGGCCCGTTCTGGGTGGTTCAAGAGGTCGAAGAGCTCGGCCTGCTGCAGGGGGGTCTGACTGGTGGACAATCGCCACGGCTCTGACAGTACCTTTCAAAAGAGAGAAGCGATTATGCGTTTGCTGTACTGGCAGCATATAAAATGTGAGAATACACATACTTCCTCCTCACATTGGAATGCAAATATTAGCATGATGCTTTGCAAATGGCACCGTTGCCAATGTTCCCTGAAGGGTCGAAGTCCCAGTGATGTATATTAGGACTGGAACTTTACAAGTATACGTCATGGTGCTATTCAGTTACATCGTTTTCACTTCGGGACCCAAAATGCAAAAAATGAGAAGAATGATTTCTTGACAGGGAAGAAACCTAAATTCACAAGCAGATATTAAACGTGGAAAACATCAGGGTTAGGGCCCAGACGTCCCTCTCAGACAGCTTCCTCTTGCATCCACAGTTACTCCTGTTGGATGTGGTCCATCCTTCATGGTCGTATGCTGACATTACTCTGGATACTGTGGCTCTTTTGAACTTGAATGCATGTCCCATTATGATGCGTGTATTGCAATACTTTATGTACAGTTGCACTATTGTTCTGCTAGTTCATCCTTCATACTCTGCTGTTACTGATGCAATATCAGTGAAGAATGACCACCAGGCCGTGCATATATAGGTGTGAAGCCGCCAACACTATTTTGACCAGTGTTTTGGTTTCATTGTCTAACCCCTGTATATTATGCTGCTCGTGACTGAAATTATAGGAGTACAAAGACTTGGGGAGTCTCTGTAAAAAGGCAGGACATGATGCTTAATATTTTCTCACCTCCTTGAGGAAGGGAGACTCAACCCCAAGGTATTTGGACACCACATAGAGGCAGAAGAGATGGCGATCAATGCCTTTGCCAGTCATGGCCAGACGATACATCTGCTGGTGCTTTTCTGCTGCGAGCTTCAGCAGCTTCAACCGCTGCTCCCTCTAGTGGTGGAGGCGGGGGGGAGAGAAGAAACGTGTTTCCGCCTTGCCCACACGCCTTGCTTCATATTGACATCGTGTCGCCATGACCGGCCCCTTACCGCCTCGTCCCTCATCATGGACCGAACAAATTCGCAGGTCTCTATCGTGCAGGACCGCACAGTTTCGGTGCGCCCCTCCCTGAACAGACGCGTCATGGAGGCCTCGTATGTAAGGCAGAACGTCCCCTTGTCCTACACGACAGAAAAGTGCTCTTTCAGTTAGATTGGCTGTTTAAATACATACACTCTTTACTTAACAACTCTAACGACTTAATTAAAATAAAATTACCAAGCAGCGTGTTTTCATATTTGCTGGTGTGTTTTCATATTTGCCCTTCAGAGCTTTTGTACAAAGGTGACATTCAAACAATATCTAAATTTGCTTGAGACAAACCCACTACTAGTACAGCATACTTGAAATATCGGTAAGAAGCGGCTCCTTGCTTATCGACCAATTCGCTTGACAAACCAATTGTAGGAACGCAACTCGGTCGTTAACTGGAGTTTCTGTATTGGTTTGTTATGAAAAACCTTAATTTGTTATGAAAAACTTGAATTATTCTATACACTTTGTTCACTTTGCCATTACGTTAACATTTTTAGCGCTAGCCTAGCTGTAGCTGGAGTGAGCCAGACAGGGCCTGTCATGTGGACCTGGGACTCACCCTGAAGTGAGCCAGCTGCAGGGCAATCTGGATGAAGGCATCTGGGCTGGTCTTGCACTTCTTGATCAGCCCCTTCCCAAAATTTCTGAAGGGGATGATGTGCGAGTCGACGTCATCGGCCAGTGCCTTCGCCATGGCCAGGGAACTGGAGATTGCCGTCTGGCACTAGGGTGACACAGCAAAAAGACACGATGCTCGGCAAAGAGAGAGGACACCCCAGCATTTCTGCTGCTCCCGGGTCCAAATGGACGGATCAAGACAGAGCTAAATATGACTCCCTTCGAACGTAAGGTGAAGTCTCTGGATCCCTCATCATTATACGAGAGCAAGGAATCAGTAAAAACTTCAGTTGTATAAAAGAGTGTAACACTGTGAGCATCAGGGGCACAACGAATTAACTAATTACAGCACAGAAATAAATATATACATATTACAGAAGATAACCCATGAGTAATTTTCTAACCAGAAATTAGTGCCTAACAAGGAAAGGGCGAAAACTACCATGAAAATCTTCCCAATTGTCATCTGTAATCAATCATAATTTTCACACTGGGGTGTAAATGCAATAGATGTAGAATTTCAGTGCTTCAGACTGACTTTTCCAGTAGCAGCACCGGTGCTGCCAACTTTCTCAGTTGGTCGCACCGGCATATGATTGGGTCGCGCCCTTCTTTTTGGTGCAGCATGGTATTAATCAATGACCTTGCGTGCTGATGAAGAGTTATCCTAATTTGCATACGCAAGTTGTATTGATGAAAGATTGACCACTTCACATTCGTGACTGTTAGGCACAGCAGATCCCCGCCAATGTGACAATTTGGGAATAATACAACCCCCCCTTTTACATAATATAAAAATCACCTAAATTATGCCTCTATGTATAGTTACTACTGTAGATACTGGGAGTGCTACGTTTTGGAATCATTATTAAAAACGCATTTAAAAAAAAAAAGTCAGCTACTGACTGCGCCATTTCTAGCGTATGTTAACACCACAGCCAAAGGGATTGTTTTCAAATTTCATCATCAGTGCCTGAATACGTATGTATGCCCACATGCATGAGGGAGAGACCAACTCAACAAAAAAAAGCCAGGGAAATTCACGCAGTACCCATGAGGGGGCACAACGTCCCAGTGATTGTGGCATAAACTCACACAGATGCCATCATGAGAAATTTTAACCAACACATTCTCAGAAAATGGCTGCAGTGTGGAGCCTTCAATGTGCGTGATGTTGGAATGTAATGCCTCAGCTTATAGTAGACAAAGCAGCATAATCCATCCATCCATCCAGTGTACCTGCTTGTCCTATGTAGGGTCATGGGGGTCCAGAGCCTCTCTCTGAAGCTACGGGTGCAAGGCAGGGAACAACCAAAGGGGGGCGCCAACCCATCACACGAGCGCACACACAGACACAGACACACACACCTATGGACAAACTGGCAGCTCAAAATCACTTAAGCATTGGACTATGAGGGGGAAACTGGAGGAAACTCCATGACGGTACGAGGAGAACATGCAAACTGCACACATGTACAGCCAGTGCTAACCACTGCGCTGCCCACATCATGCAATTTGCTAAATTACCGTTTCATTTCAGCTGTACAATTTTGACAGCAAGTTGGAACCTGGGGCCTTGAACCAATAACCTTTTGGTTGAGTATTCACATCTGCCTGGGAGGGCACCATGTGCCCGTCCCAGAAGAGTCAGGTGACCATTAGGGACTGCATGCTTTTCTCCTTGCTTCCTGCACCTAATTCTTGCTCTCCTCCAGTGTATGCATGTTAGATGAATGTGTTTTTTTTCCTGTTGTGACCCAACACCCCTTCTGGTTTTTAACGGTTTCATCTGAAATGCATTTATATACTTCTTCCTCCCATTCTGGTATAGCCAGTCGTCACCCACCCCCCCGGGGAACATTTTCAGGAAACTCACACAGTAAGTGATAAACAGCAGGCAATCCTGTCTATGACTGGCGTCACAAAACCACAGAGACGGATTCTTGCATCACTACTGCCGTGCCTCACCTCAGCCGAGACGTCCCACTGCAGCCTCTGGGGGCCTGGCAGGCTGGGGTGGGGGTCACCCTTGCAGTGCCCGTCCTCTGTATAACCCAGCTTCACAGGGTCCATTGACAGCACATGCTGCAACACAAGCCATTATGAAACTCTGCAGACAAAATTACTAGATATGGGAACCTGGAGAATCTAGGTGGTTCTAGAACCATGGCTAGATATTTAGCTCGATCCGTGTAATTCAGTGCTGGGCCTCCTCCTTTACCTCCCATAGGTGGCCTACGATTGGCGCGTCTGCCCAGGAGTGCTCAGCATTCAGCCCCATTGTCCCATTCTTGTAAACGATGAGGTTGAACGACTTGTCGAACCACCTGGAGAAAACCAAGCCAGGGATGAAACGCAGCAATGCAGGTTGCATTACGACTTCAGAATCCTCAGTGGTTCACCAGCAGCTTAAGAATCAGGAGAAGCTGGAATCTGGCTCGTGCAGAACCCAAAGGATGGAGGTTCACGTTCAGAGTTGGCAATGCTTGTTGCCAAGCGAGTGAGCTTCTGAATGAATCCATGTTCCGTTCATTCTGAATTGCATATTAGCATTTTCTTCGTTGAGAACACAAATGGGCCATTTACGACAGAACTGACCTATCGTAGCACTTTCCATGTAGAAGAGACTTGGCATAGCGATCCAGGGAGCGGACGGGGTTGTCAGCTTCGTAGCGCTGTTCTGTGTCGTCCAGGGTTACGAAGAAGGCGGCCTTCTCCACGCAGTCCAGGGACTGCTTGTTCTTGCCTTTGGCAAAGTACGTTGAGCGTGCTTTGGCCCAGGGCACCCTGGGAGAAGAGAAATCAATTCCATGGGTAGATATACACACAGGTATCGGCGCCATGACATCTTTACAATGCCCAGCCCACGACCGGTGCTTTGATGTTTATATATATAGATTCAAAACAATAATGATTAAAATTAATTCCTGCATCATAGTAGCTGTGCATCGCACCTGTCCCCGGCGGTCAGGGCGGCCAGCGTTTCCTCTCCTGGCTGCGGCTCTGACTTGTCCCCCAGGATGCGTTCCATCTGCTGCTCGATCTCCCTAGGCCGGAGCAGCCGCCCGTCGTAGAACATGGGAACCTTGAAATAGCGCCCCTTGTGGTACACCATGATGTGCTTGCTGTCGTTCATGTGCTGCAGGATGTCTGCTCTCACGGGGCGGGTGGGGGTGGGGGGGGGACCACGCAGGTGAGAGGTGGCTGTTATCATCTCGTCATCTGGGTCTTCCTTGTAACACTAAACACGCTCCACGGTAAGATTAAGATTGACTTTATTGGTCCCAAGGGGAAATTCTAGAGTTCATAGGCTACACTGTTTATGACTAGGACACACTGGACATTCTAATCTGCAGAGGAAACCACTGGAAGACTGATCTTTCACCAGGGTATTGTCCCACTGTGGATAAATAAACCCATCTAACTTCAGCAGACCTTCTCCAAATGAAGAACATGAAGATAAAAAAGGGACTAGATTCACTAAATCTGTAGACAGACATACAGTTTGCAAAGAAAATTGGCAAAAGCTGCAAAAAAACATGCAAGAAACTGTCATTGATACCCTTAGTTAGATACTTAAGATGTTAATTTCCAGAGCAATTCTAGTTTCCATTCATCCTAAAGTCGAAGATTTTTAAAAAGAATTGACTTGGAAGACATAAGCCATCTAGGTTTGTAGACATAAAGGGAAAGACGATGCGAGATGCGGAAGTGAGATGCGGATAGAAGGACCACTGAGGAACCAAACCGTTGTTTCATGTTCATGTACATATTTCCAAATGAGGGGGAAAGAGCTTCTTTCATTCTCACTCTTTCATTTTTTGATGGAAGCCGCCGTCACCCCTTTAAGCCAATGATGTCTCACATGAAACAAGGGCTCAGCAACATGAAAGGAACTGGTGAAGGGAACCTTGAGTTAAGACACTTTTCCTTTGGGCTGCTGTCCAGGGAGAACAAAAAAACAAACAAACAAAACAAAAAAAACCTTCTCGCACCCAGGCAGAACTCCGGTCACTTTGCCCTACTACATCCTAGCTTCAGTGTCACTAATTATCAGATTAATTAATTTATTTATACCCACAGGACTCCACACACTAGACTTTCCATGCAAACTGGACAGTCAGAAGAGCATTCTTTGCAGATTGTCACATGCTGGACTGCTTCATCAGCTGTGCGGAACACTGCAAACATTTCCTAGATGCTGAATTACGTAAACATCCTTAAGTTATCAGTTAGTAACACGGCAAGCTGCTTCCTACTAGCAGGTGTTTGTCTTTTTGCACGCGGGTATGAAGTCCACAGTGTTTATGGTAGAATCAAAGCATTGTCTTAAACAATAAGCAGCGTTTAAAATTGGTACACGGGTGTAGACACTTACTGTCTAAATAGTCCATGACCAAGGGCTGTGTAAATAAAACCCACTCTATTTTCAACTTTGAACTTATTGAGGAAGCTGTAAATTCAAGTTTATAATTTCCTTTAAACCAATGTATTTTTTTGGGGGGGGGATTAAGATTAATGATTAGATATGATGACTCATGTATGGACTATGACGGTTCTCACCCACTACGCTGCCAGCAAAGGCATTATGGGAATATGCTAAGTGATGGAAAAAACAGTGAGACCTCAGACAGCCCTCTGTGCCTCCAGCCCACAAACACCAGTGATCCAATCGAGTTTAGCAGACTGCCGAGCCTTAGCCGTGTGGCTAAGACTGCATGCGGGCACTGTGGCCACCGTGGGTTAATTTAAAAAACAAAACAAAAAAAAAACAGTAGGTGCTTGAGAAGCAGGGCGAATGAGAGGCGGGGCTATAACTCTACCTGTTTCTAGCCCTGGGATGCGACTGGTGTTGAACATACGCTCATATTGGGACGAGCACATTGGAATAGTGTTTTGAAGCATAAGCTGTAAAGCAAAAGGAAAGAGTCAAAAAAATTAAATAAAATAAAATAAATTAAAAGAACAAAACGAAAAAGAAGACGACCCAAGAAGCCAAGCCTGACGAGGCCACAAGGACACCTAAGGGAGGGCACAAGGGAGATGATGTAGGCGAGAGGATCCCATGGAGATTGGAGAGTTAGGAAGACTCAGAATGCCTGGAATAGACCCAAGTAGCAGGGAAGACTATGCACAAAAAATTAAAAATGGAATAATTAAAAACGAAGAATGATGGACTGTGGGACTTGAAATGATGAGCATATAGAAACTTCAGTACAGAGCCCAGGATCAAAGGCACAGGACACATGACCTGTCTCTGCCAATCACCAAAAGCTCCACAGGACACATGACCAGCCTCTGCCAATTACCAAAAGCTCCCTGTACACTATTCATGTTCTGAAAGTTTCCAATATGGTATAAGGTCCACTAAGAAATAGAAGTGAAGCAAATGCAAGGCCTCAAAATAGCCACATTTCAGTCACAATCTCCTCCTGGAGTAATTAAAAATTTGTGCTGTTGTCCGAGTTGTACTGAGGCCCATCTACTGCTGATTGGCAGGCAAAACAGTGTCACTGCACAGATGACACTGAGCAGAGGACCGACAGGTGTCCTGTGCCTTTGTAAGGTCGAGGGATAAGGTGCGAAGATTCAACATCCTCCTCTTACCTGTCTCGACGCCGGGGATGCGGGAGGTATTAAACATACGCTCCCACTGAGCGGAGCAGAGGGGGACTCTGTTTTCCAGTGCGTAAATCTGTACCACAAGCGTAAAAAACACCACATCCAAGAGCAGAAGACAAAACAGAATAATGTCTACCTGAAGGGAATCTTAGAAACATGCAAAGAGTTCAGAGGAGAAGAGCACAGGACTGGAAAAGAAGGAAAGCGAATTGTACATCAACCCTCCCCCCACCCCAACACCTTGAATGTTCTTGCCGTGTCCTGCGTAAAAGTAACAAGTTCAGATTACATGTTTCACTAAATGTTAGTACAGTGAAGTTCCGCAGAAAACATCAAGACCACTTAAAGCTGATGGAAAAAAACATTGTAAACGCCAACAATGAAAGTATTAAATTTACCCAAATAAAACAAACATAATTATATTCAGAAGTAAATCAAAGAATGACATCATTCATTGGAAACGCTAGTGAGATCGCTAGCTTCAAGACAAATTAAAAAGGAAACTACAAACTAAGGCTAGTAACTAACCATGCTTATGAACTCAGCAAAGCTCTTAAGTCATGTGCTCATCTCACTGCATGAAAACACTTAACTTGAAAGACACATGGCCTTGTGCAAGAGTTAACTATAAAATGCTTTGGCCAGATAGGACTCAGGGAACAAGAGCCATAAGCTAAAGAGGTTTGAACCAAGCAGGTTCAAAGCTTGAGAGATACTTGGTAGCCAATGGGCCTTGGAGACATTGAGAGGTCCTGATGACCCCTCAAGCTAATTTGTCATTCCTTTAGTTTCCATGTTGGTTGAAGAAAATGGGTAGCGTGTTACTAGAGAACAGGAATTCTTACCGGTTTGATCTGTGCTCTGTCTAACTTCCTTCTGTACAGCATGATGGCATGAATGGAATTTCCAGCTCGAGCTGCTTGCAGGTTGGTAGGGAAGACATACAGGAAGTCCTGGAAAAACAGGTATACGACAGTCACGCCATGTCAAGATCCCGACAACAAATCTGGAAGTCAAGCCTATATATCATCAATGTCGGCGTCGTTAACCTTTTGAAAGTCAATAAGTGCACTTTGAAATATTCCCATGACGCGTTAAGAGGAATAAGATTTATCCATACTTGGGACAGAGGAGAAACGCTGTGTCCTAATGAGGCGTGCCATGTTGGGATGACTGTGGATTATAGGAGGCCAGTATCCATTCTAGTGCTATGGCTGATGAACAGGCAACTGCTACAACCTGTATAGTATAATGTCATTTTTCCCCTAGTTTAATCAATGTAATCAATAATAATTCAAAGAAAAATAATTCTGTCTGTCAGTAGTGAGGTTGACAGGTGTCTAAAGAGCATTAAAGAAACTTCAGTACACAACACTAGCACTAGTGATTGTATCAGGACTCACTTGACAGACAAGTCATACAAATTCTCCTTTAAACTATTCTGCAGAAGAACTGGCTTTTTAAACAAAGTCCAGTTTGAGGACCCTATTCAGATGGAAATGAGGAAAGAATGGAGACTAACAGGATCACTAGCCCTTTTTGTCTTCTTTAATCTTCATGTTTCAGCCACATAATACATACATTCACTACACTGTGTCCCAAATAAAATGGTGCACACTTGAAATCAATGTGCCATGTGTCTCACTTGCATGTTTCTTTGGACAAAAGCGTCTGCTATATAAACAAATGCAGATAAATGATTTAGCCAAAACTTCTAGTTTCCAGTTGCTTACTGGGGAAAAGATATATAAACAAATGATTAACCTCTTCCCTCAGGGGATAAATTATCTTTACTTATCCAGTGGAAAGTCAACAGCAGTAAAAATTTCTTACCATCGCATAGTAGTTGCTGTTAACCATAATGGGTCCACGGCCTCGGAGGTAAATGTACTCTTCCCACCAGTCACTGACCTACGGAAACAAGTGCGGGAAATGTGTACTGGGGAACTACGCTGCAGACTCTACAGAGTATGGAGCAAAAAGCTGATTTATGGACAGGACAGGTAACTTACATAATTTGAGGCCCACCAGGATTTCAGCTTCAGGTACCACTGCAGTTTTGGGCCCAAGTTCTTCTCAAAATCCTTTGCCAAACCCTCCATCCTTTTGTACTTTTCGTCATCCATAAGTGGACGAACAGAATCAAGATACTACAAACGAGATGGTAAGGAAGAATGGACAGTGGGTGAATGTTTTTGCTCAGTAAGTAATAAAATCACAATTTATTTGGAAGAGCACTTTTAATTGTTTTTCTCCATTTCGCCTCAGGCCGCACGCTGGAATTTGCAAATGCGTTTGATAAAATGATGCGATATCTTGAAATTCCTCCTCTCGGCATGATCTGACTTCAGCATTTGCTCAATGGTCACGAACCACAGAATCTTAAGCAGCATTGGATTTTCATGCCACTGTCTCACTTTCACAGCGTATCTCTGACCTACTATTGATCTCACATCAGCTGTCCAAAGCGATCAGCAGTCACCTGCTCGCTACCTTTTTTTTCCACATTAAAAATTACAATGACTCAGTGAAAACACGTGTTCTGGGAACACGAATATAAACAGGCCTAATGAAAATCACTGGTGATAAGGTACACTACACACATGTGCTCTAGCAATGAAAAACCAGACCTGATCCGGTCGAATCCAAAAGGTCAACTTCTTGGCTCACCCTTGTTCAGGGGGTATGAGAACAGGACGTTCGAGCACGTGCCGCTGGGCAAGAGGAGCAGGCATTCACCTACCCGTCTCATTGTGTCCTTCACTGGGGGCACAGGCAGCCGTGGAAGAGAGTTCTGAAAACTGTAGAGCATCGGATTTCGGCCAGAGAACACCTTCACTAACACCTAGCAGGGAAGCAGAGAGAACAAGGATGGGGCAGATGTAATTAGCACTGATGTCGGTCGTTAATGCAAACGAGGACCCTATTCACTCTAGCTTTATTAATGCAAATAAAGCTAGAGTGAATTCCTTCTTAAAGGAATACACACATATATACGACTTGCAGTATTACTCTACCATCACCTCACTGCAGTACCAACTCACCATCCATATCCGTGTTTTCCAGGAGACCGTCCCATGACGGGCATACATCCAACCATGCCAGGAGAGCAGGCATTTGAGAGCGTTCCTCATGATGAAGATAATGGTGACCCACAGCCCCGTACCAACCAGCACACCTCCCACCACACGCTGGCTGTTCTCCGACAGGTACCTACTACAGAACCGGCGACAAGGGCACAACATCATAATCTGTACAGAATAAGTTAGCAGCCCTCGCTAGTTTTCGGTTCTTCCTAAATCACCACTTCAACACATCAACTTAAAAATTGCCCTTGTAATGCTGAACCAATAACAATTCATAAGGTCTTTTTCAATATTGAATATTAACAATAACCTCTAAAAATGTTTCTGACAAGAACCAGATAAAATCTGACTGTCTCATTGTAAAAAATCTTAAAGGGAACGTGTAATTAAATTTTGCTATCCTTGAAAATTCCTCTAATTTCAAATACATGCATTGCCATTTCACAGTATACACTTTGCAGGAAAGACTAAAGTTCACCGAATCTTAGCATTCTGTGAATATTCAGGATTATCCCAGGAAGTGCCATGTCACACACAAGGCCAACAAAGTTAAATAGGTGAAAGTTCATAGGGTGTTGACAAAACTTTAGTATATTTGCTGCAACGTATCCTACAAATGACCTCTGCTCCATTCAAGTCGCTCCACCTGAAAAACATAACCTTCTGAAGTCCTGGTTCTGTTCCCATGCAAACAAGTGCCAACGGAGAACGGGAGCTGGCGTCAAATGTGACATTACCTGACTGGGAGGTGCATCCCCAGTTTGTCAAACAGCCCTAGTGTGGGGTCCATACGTGCATACTTGGTTGAAGACATGTACCCCACCACTACCACCAAGAACCCTGAAGGACTTCCAGGGTATACGCCAGTCATTATCCCATTCTGCAAAAAAAAAAAAACACAGAGGGACACAGTATTTACCGGATGCCTGTAGCATTATACTTCTCAGTCATAATTAAATGTCTATGAACGTGAACAGTGTTTATAAGGTAATTTAGCTATAAAGACGCCCCCCCCCCCCAGTAACGATGGGGTTATGTTCCAATAAGCCAATCATAAGATGAAAATATAGTAAGGCGTAAATGTATTTTAATACAGTGCAGCTAACCTAACAAACATCACAGCCTAGCCTAGCCTACTTTAAACATACTTAGGACACTTACATTAGCCTACAGTTGGGTAAAATAATTAACACAAAGCCTATTTTATAATAAAGTGTTGAATATTTCATGTAATTTATTGAATAACGTACTGCAAGTGAAAAATGGAATGGAATTGGAATATCCATCGTAAAGTCGATACATCGTATCACGGACCATCGTAAGCCAGGGAACGCCTGTATAATCATTTAGAACATTTAGCTAAACAGTCCACAGTCTTTATTCATCAGGTACTGCAGCTACCCTCTATATCAGTGTTTCTCAAGCTGGTCTTCAGGGACTCACAGAGAGTCAATGTTTGGAGTCCTGGGAGGGAGCAAAAATGTGGACCCGCTGTGGGTCCCCAAGGACTGGACTGTGAAACATTGCTCTGTATCACAGGTGAAGGTGCAGAGCGATGGGGCGCACCTTAAAGCGAATAAACCTCTTCTTCCAGGAGTGGAGGCCAGAGAGGTAAATCTGCCGGAGGGCCTCGTGGCTGAGCTGGAGGTCGATGCCATCGGGGCCAACTGTGAACTGGAAGGCTACAGCCTGGTGCGCTTCTGCCATGACGGTGACTCAGGATTGCTGTGGAGACAACACAGAAGCTCATTCACCTGCCCTTTAAGTGGCCAGAACCAATAAACTCCTACTCCTTTAAGAGAGAAACCAAGTGTTTTGCTTTGGCTTAGTTCCTTGTAAACCGTTATTTAATGTCACAACTGCATTCCACTTCCCCCACGGAAAACCTTTGCCAACAAGAAAACAATAATATTCATCAAATCATATGGAACAAAAAATGTAGAAGTTCTGCTGACTGATTTATGTCCCTCACCTGCAAGTGGGTATTGACCGAGTCACAGAGATCATATACCACGCTGACGCAAGAAAGTCTGAATCAATACCAACGAAAAACACACTTTCAAACATGCCGACTGATAACGTTTATGGAAGAACTGAAGAATGACTCAACACACCATCCTTTAAAATGGCATGTACCATTTTACAAAGGCTGCTGGAAACGTTAATTCAAAGGATGTTACTGCAAATAATAAAACAACACTAGTTTAAAAAGTTAGCAATAAACCTGCTTACAAGCTTTTAGAAAGAAATGCAATTCACATTTTCATACAATAAATGTACCGTAGATATATGGATGCATAGATGAAAAATATTAACTTTTATGGGTCACGCAGTGAAGCTCACTGGCAGGAAACAACCTATTTTCCCTGCGGCTTCACTCGCTGCAGCACTGAGGGGCAGCCGGAGCAGAAGTTAGGGAGCTTATCAGAGTGAAATTTTAATTGCATATCTGATTTGAATTGCATGTTTCTTTGCTGGTAACTGCGATGTGATGTTTACATAATGTTTTTAAGAGTGTCCTCCTTAAATGCTGAGCTATTATTAGCCACATCATATTGTACTAACAGTGCTTCAGCCAACGAAGCTCATCATTAAATAAGCACGCACACTTGTCTACAAGTCTGGAAACTGAAATAAATCACAATGAGATGGTTGAATTGTTTTTCATAATATAATTTGCAAATAGTAATTCGGAGATTAGGGTAACTGAAAACAAACAGTGCCAAACCAATAATTAAACTTGATAATACGCTGCAATATTTATACATCTGCCATATGTTTAACGAATGATTCGGGGGTTTCCCGAAGGGAAAGGTTCCGGATGACCCGAATTAAAGATTCAGGACGACCTATTATTAGGTGACTCCCTTGGCGTAATCACATAACATAACATCACTTCACTAAGGAACTACGAACTTCATATGGATATCTTTATTTGTTCCCCCGAGGATTGGGAGCCGGGGGTGAGGGTAATTCGATATTTGTCAATTTAAGATAAGTTCCTGCAGACTCCCTGCTACTGTTATTTAAATCCCAGGTTGGAAATCCTGGATGCACAAGGAAATTCCCCAGACTGCGCGAAGCCCGTGACCATGGAAACGCAAATATGCGAACGCACAATGTATTGTCTCAAAAACGCGCGGATAATCATATTCTCTATGGCAGGAAAATGTGGCATATTACAAAATACTATATAAAAGTGTTCGACCGAACTAGTTAATCGATTAAGACACAGCTGCGAGCAAAAATTCAGAAGACTTCGCAAAACGCGCAGTTTTTGTATGCGCATTTATTTGGGACATAAAACTGTATAAATGTCGTAAATGTCCTGAAGCATGACACCTGAAGGACACGGGGATTGCTATGCGCGACGGTGTTTCCATTCAGTCACATTTCACGAGCGACGCCCATCCCCCCGCAGGAGTTCCGCGGTCACATGACGCTCCGAGCCTCAGAAAACTAGGGGAAAGGTCACGGCGCGAGGCTGGCGCTGCAGCAAAAGGGAGCGGAGCAGCCGGCTTTTTTTTAAAAACCACGTTACAAAACAAATAGATACACCCATTATATTGAGATAGAATTGTCTTATTTCAGCTAAGCTTTATAAAACACTGAATCACGTTTGAAGTACGTTCGTGTATTTAAACAAACGTGTTTTGAGTCTTGAAACGCATACATTCCAATAACAAAAAAACTGGATACAACCAAGGAAAATGTGTCGTCATGTATCAAAATAATAAAATTCAGTTTAATTAGTGTTATGTAAAAAAAATTACCAGTGGTTTACAAACCACGTGTATGGAGATTGAGGTCTGAATAACGGATCTCGAATGAAAAAAAAAACATCTTGAATCTTTGCAAGAGTATGTAAGATTTCACAATAGGAGATAAAAGGTAAAATTGTCTGGCTAGCGGGTTATTATCCGACCTCATAAATGCGACACCTGTCTGCTGACAACGTAAACAGTCGACAAATTCTTACACTACTGACCTTGACTAATTTAAACTCCCCATGAACTCGAACCTATTACTTAATACTGTCTGTTGTAAACGCATAGTCATTGTATATTCATTGGGAAAATACAGTAAATCGTTTGATTTAAATAAATCACATTTCACATATTGAATAACACCCGGCGTCGTGCCTGCGTATTAGAATAAACGACCTCTTCTGGGCATGACGATATGAAATTATGATCCAAACAATCACTTTGCGACACCACCCTGCGGACCGTATTAAGAAAAGTCGTGTCCGCAGTGTCTGAATGCCGGCGAAATGCATCACTGGTGCTTAAAACCAGTACGTAGAAAAATCACGATCTTTGCCGGAGAAGGGTGCAAAACCTGTCAAAAAAATGCAGTACAGGGTACCCATGTGTTGCAGCCTCACTACCGATGTAGATTAAATGCAAAACTTTACAGAACTGCTTCAGTTTCCAGCAACGGCATTCCTTCAAAGAAAGGCGTATATTAAGATAAACCATCACGTTTAGGCCCTTATTTCATAAGACTATCATTAATTGGGAATTCCTTTTGTAAACAGCAGATAAAAGTCAAAACAGAGAATAGTTCAAGTGCGTATGCCGGTGTGTAACATTCGTCCACCACCCGCTGCCCTGAACTGGATGGATACATGTAGCAGCCATATTTCTTTACTTCAAACGTCGCGCCGCTATTATTTAACAAAATCAGGAACAAAATGCAGTCATGTGAGACTTACCTTGATGCTTAAAATAAACGCTCTTTCGTCAAGGAGCGTGTATATGTTAGTGATGTTTATGCCCGATTCTAGTAGACACTGCCCCTTTGCCCTACTGCGTCTTCCCGCTGTATGAATGAGAACACAGTATTCACGTTAATACCGCCCCCTGTCAAGCGTCAGACCCTGTATATATAATTTATGCAAAACAAAAACTTGTTCGCCACTCAGAACCCTTTTAAGGTTATGACTGTAATGCGTTCAACAGCATCACCGTTAAGGGCGTATTAATTTTATTACTATTAATATTATTATTATTTTATATGCCGGCAGAAAATACACAGAGTGACACATAGTGCAACTAGCCGGCAATATGTTTACTTTTAACAGCATCCACTATTGAGTGCAGCGAAAAAATAAATAAAATGAGCACAATGCAGCCAGGTACTTCTTATAGATTTACAAGGAAATGGTTACTGTACGTTTTCATCTTTGCCTTCGTTAAAACATAAGCGACGCCGGTTGTGGAAGATCACGCCTCTTCCGTGTCGGTCAATGTTGCATCAGAATCCGGAGGCAATGATGGCAGCATCAGGAGAGCTAGGTAAACTGGATTTTATTATGCATTGAAACGAATAAGTTAATGATCTTAAAGCTTGCACCACGCCATCGGATTACGTTTGAATACGCCGATATGTGGTCGTTTTTGGCTATGTTTAAGAACCTTGCCGGTTCTCATTAGATTGATCTGGCGCATGCACATTCATGTCCTCATGTCTTGGGCAAAGCTGTTAGCTTACAGCACAGCAAGCTACCTTTATGTGGATCGTGTTAAATGCTGACCTGCTAGTAAATATAAAAGATCGTAATCGAATCAGCAGCATGTATTTTTCGGTAGACTTTACTCCAGAAGGTCCGTTTACATTTACTGTCATTTACAGCACAGATGTAGTAAAATCAAAACGTTAATGAATCAGCTTGGGACTTCGGCTAGCTGCAGTCGTGCTGTGCATTGAATTGCATTACAAATTTTTTCCCAGCGATTATTTTCGTCCCGGCAATATGACTAGCGATTCCCATTCATTTCTATTAATGCAAGGCGGTCGATTTACTCAAGAAAACTGTCAGATAAAATATTAAAAAGAAACGAAAGTGAAACTGGAGTGATGCCCCATTAGTTAGTGCAGGCAGTAGTAACGCCACAATGTGGTAGATTAGACCACTTAAGCCTTGATGCATCTTGCCAATAGATTTTCCATTCTCGAATTCCGGGCTTAGAAAGGGACTCCATGAACAGAGGTATTGGATATTAGCATCCATATATGTGCCCTCTTGTCTTCGCAGCCTTTGATTATGGCTTCTTGCTGCGTGTAACGGAAGAGCCCCCCAATTTGGGGGCCCTGAACGAGTACCTGAGCAGCCGCAGTTACCTGGCCGGCTTTGGCCTATCACAAATTGACGCGGAGGCCTTGGCGCGTCTCCGCGGGCCCCCTTCCCCGCAGTACCCCCACGCCCTTCGCTGGTACAGACACGTACAGGCCCTGCAGCTGGACCCCCAAGCGTCCACTTCGGCCGCCGAACAGTGCTGCAGTGAGTAAAGCCGTAGGAAAAATAGGACGGTCCCAGCCAGTGGACTTCGCTGTATGGCCCCTAGTAGTTCAGGGGCCCGAAACCTGCTCCTGGGAACCAGTAATATGTTAGGGCGTGTTCACACTTGGCTTGATTCATTCAATTTAAGTTCAGTTCATTTCGAGTCCACTTAACAGTGGGGCTGGGCAATATCATATCGATATTGCATCGCGCATGCGCAAAAATCACCAGGGCTTCAGATGAGAGGCGCAACATTTGGCCGGACGCCAGCTTTATTGACTTGGATTTGCAATACAGGTTTTGTATGGCGTTATATTAGTGCCACATTCCTGAGCGCGCAGAAGGACATTCGCGAGCAATGTTTTTGCTCTATGCGTGCTCAACTCGGCAATCTATTTATTCATAATATTCCTCCAATCAGTAACTCCAACAGAAATATGAAGTTATATAAAATAATTTTTGTCTGAGGGCCTTAGTTAAATTGGAGACGCTTTAATAAATTATCAAGGAATATTGTCCTTCCTGAAACACCAAGGCATTTAGCAATGTATGCAACTGGCAAATGTGTGTCCAACAGATTTTTCAGTTTTTCTCTCTCTCTATTACAATTTTGGGGTAGCCAGAACCTGGACCAACTTCTGTTTCCAGTTCCACTGTGGGCATAGAGCTGTCATTAATTTTACACTGGACCAGATGATGGAGATTTTGGAGTGCTTCTGTAATCTCTGATATACCTCCTATATTATCTCAGTTATGTAGTTTATTCTGTGACTGCAGGCTGAAGTGGAAGCTTGTAATAAATTAATATACACCTCATAGCATCATATAGCCATTGTCAATAATCTAATGTATTAGCTAACTTGGCAAGCTAATAATAATAATAACGATTATACTGGTAAAATTAGACACGCGGAATTTAATAAAAGCTGAAAACAATCAAACTAAAGCACAATAAACTGCTTACATGTGGCCGTGGTGCGCTATTTTCGTGTTGCTGTTCAAATTCCGAGAACATTGTCAAACGCTGAGCTACCCAAAGATAATAGAAGAAAGATGAGTCAAATTCGTTAAATATCGACCGATGGTTGGAGGACTGTGGAAATATCGTAAAAACGGATAATTGTTCTACAATTCATTAAACGAAATAGGCAGTTCTGTAATAGAATTCAATAATAAAAATATTAACAGAAAACCTTTGGAAAAACTTGATTTACTTTCATATATTTTATGTCGGATGACAGACAGTTTCCGGAATGCTGATTGGACAGGAAACAGCCAATCAGAATTACACCAAGTCTGCGATTGGCTGGTTTTGTGGCACTTTTTTAACGATGTGCCCAACTTGAGCGAGCGTACAAAAAGAGTTGAGCGAGCGCGTAACCGAGATGTGTGAGAGCGAGAGACACACTGTGAGGAGAGCGCGGTGGCCGAGTTGAGCGCGCGTAGGACAGGTTGAGCGAGCGTGCGCGCTAAGCTGAGCGAGAGAGACGCTGTGAGCTAGAGCGCGGTGGCCGAGTTGAGCACGCATAGAGCAAAAACATTGCTCGCGAATGTCCTTCTGCGCGCTCAGGAATGTGGCACTAATATAACGCCATACTATTCTGACTCCATATCTCCTCTTCTAAAAGATGTCGTGGCTGCTCTTCTTCACCGCGACTTCAGTGCATATTGCACTGAGGTATACTAAACCGTAGTATACCAAAACAGTATTATGTGGTGTGCTCCGTTAATCGAATTTAAGAAACATAAAGTTTATAAAGATTACTAACTTTTGGGTACCACAAAACGCATCTAATTAATATTTAAGCCATACTACTAATCTTCTTACCAAATTATTGGCGTAAATAAATGTCCGTAAAGCACCGAAAAGCTAGCGTCCGGCAAAATGCTTTGTCATCTGAAGCCTTGGTGATTATTTCGTATGCGCGATATAAATATCGGTATGATATCGCCCAGCCCTACTTAACAGGTTCGCTTGCTGACGATCTTTGAGCAAATAGTGTGCCCAGGTCTCTTCGTTTTTCTCTAGGCGTTTTTGGGTAGTATACACTGCGGATATCAAAACAACTATCAAAATTATCACGAATTCTTAAGATAGATTACACTAATTTATTGAGGTGGGGAATTTGTCGCGTTAACACATGCAGTGTTTTGTTACCCAAATGGGAAATGATATGTACATAGATTTTATCAGAGACCTGTAATATTCCTTCCTTAGTTTGCTTGATTTAAAAAAATTACCTGACGGAGGCATTCATAGGGATAAAAATATTGTAATTTGCAATATTTGATTTATTTTATTGAAGGATTATACCTTTTGAAGGATTTATAACATGATCTTTCATGTTATAAAGTGTAATTTTCAGTGGTTTTAGATTTAGATTAATCACGCGGTTGAAATTAGTGTTTTGATCCGCATGTTCCGTACCTGCGATTATGTACATGTGGTATATACAATTAATCCCGAAGGTGTGTGGTCTAAAAAAATTAACATTGAAATTCAGCGTATACTTGATTTCAAGTAGTATTTTTGTTGGAAATGAATAATTTGTACATGACAAGTTTAAGTTAAACTATAAAACATATTAAATTATGGATCATTCTCATGAACTTGACATTTTGTTGAGAAAGAAATGACACTCATGACCAGTTAATTGTGAACCAGTCAAGTGTGAACGTGAAATGGACTGAGACCACATAAAAGCTCAAGTGCACCAGAAAGTGAACTGAGTTGTCCTGGGAGGTGATGGACAATGTGAATCCAGAGAGAACCGAGTTCTCATTCTTTTGGCCCACTTTCTGGTCCACTTGGAGAGGACTGAGTTTGGTTCATTTAAAGAAGACTATATGTGAAAACACTCCTAATCTAAGAAATGCATTTTCCTTGTCATTAGGGAAAATTTAAACATTTTTGCAGTACTAAGTGACGTTTAAGCACATCTCAGGAAATACGTTATATGTTTTCTGAAGAAAAGAATTCAGAACAAAATGATTACTTTGGGTTCCCAGACCGGGGTTGGAAATGACTGAAACTGGATGCCTTATAGTTTTATTATTGACCGTAATTATAATGAATAAATACATCTATTTGGTGTAGAGGACTCACCTCTGCCAAAAACAGTGATGATTCAGTCAGGTCTGTCAAATTGATGTTGGTTAATCTCAGGTCTTCTTCTTTTTTAGCCTAACACGGCTGTGTCGTTTGGGTCACTGCAAAGCACTGAGGACTTTCACTAATTATTGGACAGGCCTTGATGCATACAATTAGCAGAGTTGTCTTTTGTGTGTGTCTACAGCCAAAGGTGATCCTTGCTTAAAGGCTTGTGGCATCATTTTTTTTGTCTTTGCCTTTGTCTGTGGTTAATGTCTGGCTGTTTCCCCAATAACAAAGACTGTCTAGTGTCAGCAAAGCCACAAGACTCCAGATGTGCCTGCAACTGTCAACCATGTGACAAATAGTGTAAACGAACAGATGTGTCCTCAAGCAAAAGTCTGCTTTCTCATTTATAGCAAAGGGGAAGAGAGTCCAGTCGCCATGGTCTCCACCAGAAAGGACAGACGTGCCTAAGCTGTATCTCTACAAC